AGATGATCCACTCACCGCTCTGCCATGGACATGGACAGCACGATTCTACCAATGGCTCCACAGCATGCAATCCGCTCACAACTATTCGAACTTGCAGCAAGGCTTGTCATCCCACAATTAATTTTGACCTGTCCAATTACATATTATTTCTGGTATTCATGTGCCTATTAAATCACTGCTATGTAAATGTGAAAACTGAATAAAATCTTAATGTGAGTAAAAATATTTTCAGATTTATGTATAATACTATAAATATAATATATATACGTATACACGTATATATTGTTGTTTAGTCATTAAGTCGTGTCTGACTCTTTGTGACCCCCTGGACCAGAGCACGCCAGGCCCTCCTATCTTCCACTGCTTCCCGTAGTTGTATCAGTTTCATGTTGGTAGCTTCGATGACACTGTCCAACCATCTTGTCCTCTGTCATCCCCTTCTCCTCTTGCCTTCAGACTTTCCTAACATCAGCATGTTTTCCAGGGAGTCTTCTCATAAGATGGCCACAGTACTGGAGCCTCAGCTTCAGGATCTGTCCTTCCAGTGTGCACTCAGGGTTGATTTTCTTCAAAATGGATAAGTTGTATATGTATGTGTGTATGTATACACATACATACATATACATATACATATACATATACATATACATATACATATAGAGTGGTGCCTCGCACAGCGAAGTTAATCCATTCCAGATTAACCCTCGCTGTGTGAAAACATCGCTGAGCGGGGCAGAAAAGCCCATTGGAACGCATTAAACAGTGTTTAATGCGTTCCAATCGGCTGCTGTACTCACCGTTCAGCGATGTTTCTCCGATGGCCAGCAGCCATTTTCGCGCCCTCCCCTCGCTTAACAAGGGTGCAAAAACGCTGCGCGTGGCCATTTTGCAGCTTCCGACGGCCATTTTGTAGCCGCCGAACAGCTGATCGGTGGGTCGCAAAGCGAAGGTTGGTAGGCGAACCGCTTACCGACCTTCGCTCTGCAATTTTTTCCCTATTGAGGCATCGCTGTACAGTGCACTCGTTATGCAAGGCACCACTGTACATATACAAATGCATATATACATTACATACGAACATGTGTACATGCGTACATGCGTACATGCGTACATGCGTACATGCGTACATACGTACATACATACATACGTACATACATACATACATACATACTTTATAATTTTCCGAAGGTGGAGAAAAGGGTAAAGAACACAAACAGTTATATGTGAAGGGGGAAAGGTCACAGATGCTTCTGTCAGCATACCATCATGCTCTAATCAAGGATATGAGACCTTCACCCCAACTGCTGCCTGGACTCTGTAAACTGCAGAGAGTTTACAGAGTGCTGCTATCCTAGCCTTTTCCAGGAAACCAGGACTCAGTCATGGTCATCATGTTTCTCCTGGAAGTTGAGGGACAATCCCTAGGGAAGCAAAAGGAATTTATCTACCACTGGCGGATGATGGATATATAAGATGTCTTGCCACACGGGGAGGCAGAACCCCAGCTGGAGGCAAAGAAGGAGGAGGTAGGCGGTCAGACAGAGAAGGTGCAGGAACCCCAAGGGAGAGAAACAGGCACTTCAGAGCCAATGGAGGAAACCCAAAGGTAGGGAACAGACACCCTGGCACAGGAGGGAAAATTTATGGGAATGAAAAGACATGAAGGGGAAGAAGGACCTTCAGGAGATGAAGACCCTAGAAGAGTGATGCGCATCTTTTGGGCCAAAGAGTCCTCTCTGGTAATGGCAATGCTTGCAGTCAAAAAGGTTTAAGTCCACATAGCTTTGAATGGGGCGATACAGTCTTTCCAGATAGCTTGAGAATACTTTAAGAACTTCACTGTGCAACTTCAATAACTCAGCTTAATTGCTGGAAACAGAAGGGAAACGTTAAAAAAAGAACAGGGATCAGGATGTCATGTTCCTTAGAAATCCCCAGACTTGTATATAGCCTTGTTCCTTAGAGGCATGTATACGCCATCAAAATTAGCCAATTCATCTTATCGATAAGGGGGGGGCCTTGCATGACTTGAGAACAACAGGAGAAAGATGGAAGGAATATAATTCCTTTCCAGGAGGAGTCACCTTCTTGGTGTTGCACTTCACCAGAACACAGGGTAGATAAAGACAAAAGCCCGCACTTCTATTTTAATAATTATTATTATCAGCTGTCAAGTTGATTCTAAGTTACGGTGACCCTTTCCAGGGTTTCCTAGGAATAAAGTACTCAGAAGTGACGTCCTTCCCTTCTTCTGAGGGTTCCCTCAGACTGTGCAACTTGCCCTGCTTCTCCTAGGAGTCAAAATTAAAACTGAACTCCCAGTTTAGCTCACTGAGCTATTCAGCCAGCTCTATCTTTAAATACCCCATTTTTATTATTATTTTCATGTTATGTGGATCAAGAGCTACCTGGCTATGTAAGTTTGCTTTTCTTACAAGACTCTGATTTGTTTTCTTGAGAAATTTCACCTGAAGGCATCTCTATATTTGTGATCCTTTGCTTTCCTTATGCTGGTAAGTGAAACTTTTCACATATTCAACAGCAAAAGAACCCAAGCTCTTTATTCTACGGGGAGTCCTACTGACTTCATTTAAAATAGTACTTACTTTTTACAGCATTTTGTTTGTAAACAACAGGTTTTCCATTCAACAGTGATTTTCCCTGCAACTATATGTTTTATATTTCGTTGAGGGTGGTTTTTTCTTATATATTTTCATACTTCATATATTTATATATTTGACATGGTTCTCATTTATATTTGTTGTCATTTATTTCTTAATTTTAAAAAGTATGAGACAATAAGCCTGCCAGAGAGTTGCACTTTTAAGTCCCAGTGACATCAATGAAACAGCTAAGTAGATACTTAAATCTCTCATTCACAGTAAGCTAGCATTTGCAGACATTACCGTCGTAGCATCGTGGCTGATTTAAAAAGGTCTATGCAGCTCTGTGGCTGAGAAGATAGGATATAACTGGAACTGAAGCATGAATCTGAGGGAAGTATATGATTGATGAAATGAAAATGCTATAAGTACACATTCAAAATGCTTATAAATAAGATTACAATAAAAGTGCATTATGTTGAACATGCTTTCTTAATGATAATTGGTATGAGTTAAAAACTGCTTTTGAAAGTTGTGGAGCATGTCACATGCAGTTATATTCGGATATCTTGATAAGTTCAGGTGGGCTTCACTGAGGAAGATGGATCATAGGATTGCAGCTGTCTTGAGGAAGAAATCCTGTGTAGACTAATTAGTCATTAATCCTATTTTTCAGTTACTGCTTGAAAGTGAAGAGGGTTGTAAGTTTGAGGAGCAATAGCAGCCAAAGTTCTCCTCCTCGCCGATATCAATCAGACCTTCACAATTGACAAAGGTCTGAAGAGGAGCTTGTGTGTTTAATTGAACGTATTTGCAGTACTCCTGCAATCTGGAGCCATGTCTTATCATACTTTACATCATGTGGTATGTGCAAAGTTCTAAGTGATATACTGAAGGGGAGAATGTTTGGGAATGGATTTGCATATTTTCCTACCCTGCTTACACCCTTTCCCATATTCAAATTATAATGCCTAGATAGAGCTATGATTTTGTGCTTAAGCTTGTTGTATTTTCACTAGAGATAGGATATTTGTATCGGAATTCCTGGAGATATGAATACAAATACTGGAACCACAGGTGCCTGAAGAAACTGGACCCAGCCACCCACCTCAGAACTGACTGGTCCACTTACTGCTTGCTAAGTAGCGCACTCGATTGTCATAATCCATGACACACCAATCAGTGAATCAGCCCAGCCAGTGCTTCCCCACCTCCCCACACTGCTGACCACTCAGCAGCTGAGCAGGGAGATTTGTCATCCCACCTTCTTGCCGGAGTGGTCAGCTTTGCGGGGAGATGGGGACGTTCTGGCTGGTCTACTTCTATGATCAGTATATTGTGAACAATGATGGCTGTGCATGCGTCAGTCCACCTAGTGCTTGCCACACTGCATGTGCAGCCATCATTGCTCATGTTGTGCTTATCACAGTAGTAGCCAAGCCCAGTCACACAGCTCAAGCCCCTGTCCCTGCTATTATGTTCATATAATGTGGAGAGTAATTAAGATCCAGTTTCGTGCCATCAGTTAAAACTTAATTCTCAAATTAACATGCCAATTTATACAAGTTAAATATGGTGGAATATGGACTTCTGGTGCAAACATCAGCTTTCAGAATTAAGGAAACATATTTATCAGGTGCATATTTTGCTTTTCTTGAGTTTTTAAAAACTCAGTTTATAGAGATGGATTTGCATAGAATAGAAAGATTGAACTGCACAAAGCAATCATTTTAAAATAATACCATCTAGACAAAGTTGAACTTTTTAGAATTCCCACTTCATCCTGACAGGACAGTGTGAAATCAATATTTTTGAAATGGTGCTTTGATCTGTTCCTTTAATTGCACATTTCTAAACTATAAAGTGTAAATGGATCTTATATTCTCCCAAGTAGTGTCCAAAAATCTGAACAGAAGGTCAGCTATAAATAACTACTATTCCTGGAGTAAAGATCCAAATAAATGAAAAGGTCAAAAATGTTTTAGTTTACATTGGTGATTGATGGCTGGCTCTTTCTTCTTGACTTTTCTCCAGGTTCAAGTTTAGACAAATTCTAAATTTAAACAGCATCAGGCTGATGTGGAAAGGTTCAGGAGATGTCCAAGACAAAAGCAGAGTTTGCCCTAATTGGTCCAAATTTGAACTGGAAATCTCCTGAAGATATATTAGCAATTTCAGTTTACAGAAAAAGAAATGCGTCTAAAGACTGACCTATTTCTGACAAATTCTTTATATAGAAAGAAAAATTAAGAAGTTGGGAGCAGGAAGAGAATGAAGAGGTGAATGTTTTATGACTAGTAAGCAGCTATTCATAATAAGTCACTTTGTGACAGCTGTCCCATGCTATTGCTTTGGAGAAAGAATGTCAAGATAATACATCAAAGGACTAATCCTGCATTCAGTGGTCTTTACTAGCTTTTTCATATATAATCCAATCAAGAAATAAAACAAATTGTGAATAGCAGAAGCCCCCTAAATCTTTAAGCTGAGATAAATTGCTGTGTCTTTCACAGGCATATCATTTCCTTGGAACATAGGATTTCTACTTTTGATTTCCACCCAGATGGAACTAGGACTGGCCACAATCAGGAACTTCAGTTTCAATTACAGAAAGCCTAGGAAACAGTTATCTCCTTAGAAAAAATTTTTCCTATTGAAACTGATTGGATTTGTCATGATTAGCTTATCATATTGTGATTGTAACTGGACCTAACTATGACTGTTTTATCCTGGATCAAGAATTTGGTTGGTTGCAGGAAAGAAAAATATGGAATTTCTTACTACTTCATTGATTGGAGTGATTTTGTTCCATGAATCAGCATGAATTAAATTTCCTCTTATAGTGTCTTCTTTCTTTTCCTTTCCTCTCAGATGGAACAAAGATTTTCAACAAAGCCAGTGAATGTTACTGGAAGGACTGAATTTATCCTCTTGGGTTTAGCTGACCATCCAGACCTGCAAGTTCTGTTGTTCACTGTTTTTCTATCACTTTACATAATTACGCTGGTGGGAAACACGCTCATTTTCATCACAATCATGACAGATCCTTTACTTCGCACACCAATGTATTTCTTTCTCAAAGTTTTGTCTTTCCTGGATATTTGCTACTCTTCTGTCACCCTTCCTAAAATGCTAACAAATTCCTTATCAGAGGACAAGAGAATTTCCTACATTGGCTGTGCTACACAAATGTTCTTCTTGCTATTTTTAGGGGCTTCAGAATGCTTCCTCCTAGTGGCCATGGCTTATGACCGTTATGTGGCTATATGCAAACCCCTGAGGTACAGGTCCATCATGAATGATACTGTTTGTCTTTCATTGACAGTCCTCTCATGGTTGATTGGCAACTCTGTGTCTTTGGTTCAGACAGCCTGGGTGTTCACCCTGCCATTCTGCGAGTCAAATGAGATTGATTATTTTTTCTGTGATATCCCACCACTAATTAAACTTTCATGCACTGAGACTTCTTCATATGAGAGGCAGCTCTTTACAGCTACCATCATGGTTATTTGCATCCCGTTTTCTTTCATCTTTGGGTCATACTTCCTAATCATTTTCAACATCCTAAAAATGAAATCATCGGAGGGACGTCGGAAAGCCTTCTCCACCTGTTCTTCTCACCTCATGGTGGTTACTTTATTCTTTGGGAGTGGTAGCTTGATTTATCTAAGGCCAAAATCTATTCAAGGGCAGGATAGTAACAAACTTTTAGCTTTAATATATACTGCCATCACACCTATGCTGAATCCTATTATCTACAGTCTAAGGAACAAGGAAATCAATGAAGCAATTAAGAGGATGGCTAGAGAGGTCATGAACAGAATATTTTTTCGGTAGAGATAATTTAAACGAATTAGACATTATTGATCCTAACGTTTAAGAGATTGAACTTAGTCACCAGCCAAATTTCTGTGTGGAAAATTTTCTCTTGCTCTTAGTATGCTTCTCCCTTTCCTATGTCTTGGACCTGACTATGTCAAGGTGACCGTAAGCAATACCTGAATCACAGGACTGTCTTCTGCACAATAATATCAAATATTAGCTAGGTTTCTATAATTCTTCTTCTTTTATTTAAAAGATGTCCATATCACCCTTTAGACATTTGTTTAGAGCTTCCTGAATTGTTGACAAAAATAAGGTGGAATCAGTGCATTAATACACTGCCAAGAGTGGTAAATTATTGACTTACAGGGTTATAGGTTACCACCACTGCAAAGATTCTGAAACACACAGTTTGACTCTCGGTCTGCAGTTTCTGTCCTGCTCGGTGCAGTAAAGAGCTTCTGGAGATGACTGTAGTACATAGGCTGATAAGGGGGTAGAGAAGAATACAGAAACCTAAGCATATTATGTTATGAAGCTCAACTCACAGACTTTCTAGAGAGGTTGGAGATTGGATGAGCAATTGAAATGTACCACAGTTACACCTGAAGGGAAGGAGGACTTACCTGTGTTTGAAAACAGAGGAACGGGAAAGTTCTTTGTTTTACTCCACAAATGCAGGTGTCCTCACAATTTGAGTACTATCTATCTATCTATCTATCTATCTATCTATCTATCTATCTATCTATCTATCTATCTATCTATCTATCTATCTATCTATCTATCTATCTGTCTGTCTGTCTGTCTGTCTGTCTGTCTGTCTGTCTGTCTGTCTGTCTGTCTGTCTGTCTGTCTGTCTGTCTGTCTGTCTGTCTGTCTGTCTGTCTGTCTGTCTATCTATCTATCTATCTATCTATCTATCTATCTATCTATCTATCTATCTATCTATCTATCTATCTATCTATCTATCTCTCTGTCTCTCTGTCTCTCTGTCTCTCTGTCTGTCTGTCCGTCCGTCCGTCCGTCCGTCCTCTGTCTTTATTTGTTTGTTTGTTTGTTTGTTTGTTTATATCCCACCTATCTGGTAACATGACCACTCTAGGTGGCTTCTGCAGGATTGAGATGTTATTAATATTTCACCATTTTCCCATTTCCTGTCTTGGTATTTTGGATAGAAGTCACAGGTCACGTAGGCCAATTCAGTTGTCTGAATTGGGCTTCTCTGAACGTTCTGTTTCTGTCTCCAATATGCATTGTCACTAACCATGGTGGAAAAGAAATACACTTTAATCAAGATTTTCCATTAATTCATCGAAATGTTATTGTGAGAGACTATTAGCAAAAGTCTGTATGTATCTTTTGGTTTACCATTATTGGGAAGAACGCAAAGTATTTTTCATTTTTTTCCCAAACAGGAACCTATCAATTTCCCCCTTTTGTAAATATATGAATTTATTTACAAATATGACTAAATGTATATATTTGGGGCTGGGGATACATGGCACAGACATGTCTTAGCCACTGTAGACACTTATTAAAAAGATACATAAGAAAAACACATGGACTAAATCTATTATGAAATATCTATCTCAAAACAGCCACTTATTCCTAAGTTGCGAGGGAAACAAAGAGACCCTGCAACTTGGACAGGATGAGGATGTTGGTGGAAACTGCTGGATAGCTCAGTGATTTCGGCCTCTGGCTGATTACTCAATGTGTCTCTCTGACAGGGGCTAAATTTTATGATCCATAGAGTCCCTTCCAGCTCTACAGTTCTAAGATAATTATGATATGCTTCCTCCAAGCTCTGGATCTTAGATGTCCATGCTATGGTGAGTCTGCATACAGTTCCTAACAGTAGGCTTCAGTTATCCATTTGTAAGACAAAGTTGATCTTAAACATTAGTATACAACTCAAGAATTCTTTTGTATGTGAAATATTAACATTGTGTTTAATATAATCTGATGTGGTAAGAATTGTAAAGGGGGAAAACTGTGGCCTTCACCCTTATTATGTTAAATAAGTCACACATTATTCATGTTTTATGGTTTTATGCTGATGTGGTTGAGAGGTGGGGCCACTGGAGATGTTAAAAGGCGGAGATAGAGAGGAGGAGTTTAGTTTACAGTCGGAGTCAGAGTTAGAGAGAGAGAGAGAGAGAGAGAGAGAGAGAGTTGGGAGATCTGAGGTGTGATTAGTCTGAGTAGTGAATATTACCTGTAAGATAATATAGAAGATTTATTGATGCTTGATGAACCTGAAGAAGATACTGATGAATTATTAAAGAAACATCTGTAATCAATAAACCTACTTTATAAGATAGTGATGCATGGACCTTTGTCTTTCCTACGAAAAGTACGTCAATAAAGAAATCAACTGGTAGCAGCGTGTTTATTTTTCTGGTTCACCTTCGTGAGCTCTCTGTTTTGGGGAGACAAACAGGGGCCACAAAGGGGCAAACGTCACAAAAACATTAAAGAATTCAGCAAATATTTAATGTCAAAAGAACAAGTCCCACTTGTTAACATCAGATATGTAATTCCCATTCATTCAATAAGTCTATTCCAGTTAGGAAATGATTTTAAAAATGAATATATAAATTTCAATGAAAAAAGTAACGCATCAAGTGTGCATTCACCTCTATGAGAAAACACATTTCATTCACCTATCTGTTTCTTCAAGGCTCTCTGTATTTCTTTGTTTCTTATACTATAGATTGCGGGGTTCAACATGGGTGTGATTGTTGTATATATCAGTGCAAGGATTTTGCTCGAATCCTTTGAGAAGATGGATTGGGGCTTTATGTAAATCAAGGTGCTGATCCCATAATACAATATCACCACCATGATATGTGAAGAGCAGGTGGAGAAGGTTTTCCACTTCCCTTCACCTGAAGTCACTGCTAAAATAGAACAGATTATTAAGCTATAGGAGACAAGGATAAGGATAAATGGAGTGAGTATAACCAGAACACTGGCTGTCAACAACTGAATCTCAAACATGGATGTATCAATGCATGAAAGCTTAAGCAGGGGTGGGATGTCACAAAAGAAATAATCAATCATATTGGAACTGCAAAAGGGCAAGGTGAACACCCAGATGGTTTGCACTGAAGAAACAAGACTTCCACTTAGCACTGAAAGTAAAGATAACGATAGGCAAACTCTTGGATTCATGTGGACCATGTAAACTAGAGGGTGGCATATGGCCATATAGCGATCATATGCCATGACTGCCAAGAGAACACATTCAGCAGCCCCTAAAGAAAGCAAGAAATACATCTGAGCAGCACAGCCAAGATAGGAAATGCTCTTGTCCTCTGTCAATAAGTTCAGTAAAATCTTGGGGATGGTAACTGAAGAATAGCAGATATCCAGAAATGATAGGATCCTAAGGAAGAAATACATAGGGGTATGAAGAGTTGGGTTTGCCACTGTAACAACAATGATGAGATAATTTCCAATTAGGGTGAATATATAAATTAAAAGGAAGGCACAGGAAATCAACATTTGCAATTCAAATCTGACAGGCAGTTGTAAGAAGACAAAAGTAGTCACTGTGGAGATGTTCTTCCTCAAATGTTCTTCCATGCTGGGTTTTTTCTCACCACCTTGGAAAAATCTTGTAGGCATGCAGAAATACGATCCTCTGAAAAGGAAAACAATATTTTTTTGTGTCTTTTCTAAAAACAAATACAAATATAATACCATATGTTGGATGCATATTTACTATTAAAAAGTTCATTTAAGCCCTTTTACAACTTGATCCTGGTGGTTTCTCTTTTATTGTCACATCTATGCATACTTTCTTCTCAGTGATCAGCAACATTAACACAACTTCCACCTCTTTAGTCCCTTGTCTCTTTCTTCTTGAAGTTATCTGTGTACTTCTCTAACCTTTTCCATTCTAATTCTCTACTCATAGTCAGCTTTCTTTATGATCCAGCTCTCACTTCCATACATCATTACTGGAAAAACCATAGCTTTGACTATGTGGACCTTTGTCGGCAAGGTGATGTCTCTGCTTTTTAAGATGCTGTCTAGGTTTGTCATTACTTTCCTCCCAAGAAGCAGGGGTCTTTTAATTTTGTGGCTGCTGTCACCATCTGCAGTGATCATGGAGCCCAAGAAAGTAAAATACGTCACTGCCTCCATATCTTCCCCTTCTATTTGCCAGGAGGGGATGGGACCAGTGGCCATGATCTCAATTTCTTTTTTATGTTGATCTTCAGACCATTTTTTGCACTCTCCTCTTTCACCCTCATTAAGAGGTTCTTTAATTCCTCCTCACTTTCTGCCATCAGAGTGGTATTATCAGCATAGCTGAGGTTGATATTTCTTCCAGCAATCTTAATTCTGGCTTGGGCTTTCACGGGATGTATTCTGCGTATATGTTAAATAAGCAGGGAGACAATATACAGCCTTGTCATACTCCTTTCCCAGTTTTGAACCAATCAGTTGTTCCCTATCCAGTTCTAACTGTTGCTTCCTGTCCCACATATAGATTTCTCAGGAGGTAGATAAGGCAGTCAGGCACCCCCATTTCTTTAAGTACTTGCCATAGTTTGTTGTAGTCCACACAGTCAAAGGCTTTTCCATAGTCAATGAAGCAGAAGTAGATGTTTTTCTGGAGTTCTCTGGCTTTCTCCATAATCCAGCGCATGTTTGGTCATTAGTGCCAGGTAAATTTTCCCCAAATGTAAATTTCAACCTACATTTCCCAGGCTCAGGCAATTCTAAACACAGTACAATGATCATGATTCCTGTTCACATCCTTGCTGTGCACATAGCCAATAAAGGTGTCACAAGGAAATATCTTGGTACAGATCTCAAGTTTCTACTTTGCATGTTTAAGTCTATGGGTTTGCCACTGTGTCAGGAGAAAATAACTGCATCTATTTATGTTCTTACCTCTAATTTCTTCATGCAGAATTTCTCATAAGATATGGAGGCAACTGTTTTTTCTGCTTTATTTTTATAGCCTTGCTTGAACCCTTGAGACAAACTTGAACATGCTACAATTTGAAGGAACAAAAAATTCCTTTGGGTTTTTTTTTTTTAAGCATCTGAAGTAATTTTCAGTTGGCATTAATTTCAGTATTGCTTTTCTTTTACATTTTAAGGCTTCAAGACTCTCTTTCTGTGTGTGCATTGTCCACTCCACCATGGTGCACTCCTGCTGTGGCGGGGACGCTTTGCCCTCCCGCTCGGAAAGTGGTGTCACACAGATGACGCCACTTTCTGAGGGGAGGGAAAGCTTTTAAAAAGGCTCTGTTTCTTCGATGCAGCCGCCCACCCTTAGATTAAGAGTGAGATTAACTGGTTGCCTCTGGAGCTGGATGGGGATTTTGGGACCACATCCTAATTGACCTAAGGTTGTGGGTGCGTTTTCACCCATCCCATTCTTAACTATAGGGTGTGGTATTATAAACGTGCATGTAAATATTGTTTAGTTAATGTCATTACGGGTCACAGCCTCGGGTCATGCAATGGAAATAGTAGGGGTGAGTTCATGTTGGCATGGGGTGCCAAAAATTAGGACATCTCGCTGGCAGGTTGAGCCTATCAGGTGAGAGGTGTCTTATATGGAAGGACCTCCCTGCCAACTGCCCATTTAGGGTCACAAGGCTCGATGGGAGCAGCTGGTTGGGGGTTACCATTTTACAGAGCAACTGGAGGCGTGCTGTTCAACGGACAGCACGATTCAGTAATAGGAGCTCGCCCTCCTCTAGGACATAAAAGAAAATTGCACTACGGTAGCCTCCCTTGTATTTTGGGGGATACAATTTAAATACTTAATAAAGCCAAAGTTTTAATCCAACATACTGTGTCTTGCCTCGTTATTTCTGGACTGGGGGGGGGAATGTATGTCTCTATGTGTTTGATATACAGGTGTGTGGATATGCTCGTATATATATTGTGTGCATGAGGATATGACCTCCTAACCTATGATCTGGAAGTACCTGTAGTACCACTAGTCTCTCTTACCCCAGGAACAGGCATATTTCAAACATTTTGCAGTTAATCAGGATGTTATTCCATAAAATGGTGGTGTAAAGCAGAGCAAAATGTGGTCAACATTCTAATTTTCTGCCTCACTACATATTTTCCCATTTACTTACTAAATGAAATAATATGTACAGTGGACCCTCGACTTACAGACAGCTCGACTTACAGACTTTTCGAGTTACAGACTTCTCTGGCCGCAAAATTTAGGTTCGACTTGCAGCCAGAGAATTGACCTACAGACTAGAAAAAAACCAAAATGGAACAAAAAATGGAACAAAACCGGCTGGTTACGGATTAATCAGTTTTCAATGCATTGTAGGTCAATGGAGACTCGACCTACAGACTTTTCGACCTGCAGCCATCATTCCAATATCGATTAATTCCGTAAGTAGAGGGTCCACTGTACATTAAAACTATGCAAATGTGTTATGTAAACCTAATGCAACTCATGAGTTAATATTTGGTTTGGTTAATATTTCTGTGTCTCTAACCCACTGGCGTGCTCTGGTCCATGGGGTCACGAAGAGTCGGACACGACTAAATGACTAAACGAGCGAACGAACGAACCCACTTCAGTTCAGCAATAAGTCAAGTTATGAGAACTGCAATAGAATTATTTACTTGTGTTTTGTTGTCTTTTTTTTCAATTTATCACAACTTTATTATACACAAATACCAGTCACAACACCCCTGAAATAAAAAATTTAAAATAAAACCAGCATTTCTCCAATACTATTATGTTTACCAAATATGATGTATAAAATTCAAATAAGTGTCTGCTGTTTACAGAAATAAAAATGTAATTCAAGTTTTAATCTCATCTCTGCATTAAATAAACATGATAATAGTATATTTAATACCCTCAGTACCAGACAGACATAATAATGTGTCAAAAATAATATTATAAAATCTTCTTCGTAACAGTACATTGAATTGTGATAATGTTACTCCATGCTTAATTTTGCCTCTTTAATCTCACAGTGAACTATTTAGATAAAGATGCCATGACGTTAATTGTATTGTCTTTCATTGTTGTAAGCGGTCTTGGGTTCTTTTCAAGGAGAAAGATGGTGTAAAAACAAACAAACAAACAAACAAATAAATAATGTTTGAAGGGCAATGAAAGGTCTCAGAAACAGCCAAAAGACAGATTTCCTTTAAATAGTTAAAAACAACAACAACCAGATTTGCTTTAAAGACAGAACTGTAGTGACAGTTCTCCAAAAGGGGGCATTTCTCCAGAGAATTAGCATATAATTTTATAAGTCATATTCTAAGTATTTCTGCATTAAAGATGCACAGAACAGTCCTAAGTCCTTTTAGTAAAGATTCGCTCAGGATTTTTAAGATCAGTCTCCTGACACAACTCTTCAAAGGGGAAGTGAGGTCTCGTTCTTGAGCCATCTGAACTTTTCACCCTGTCAGTCACAACTTTCAGGATGAGAACTTTTTAAGTCATTGATGGTGTAATAGCCATTTATGCTTACAAAGGGATTATGTGTCTGATGGTGGCCTGTGCCTGATTTGACTTGATTTGACTTGATTGAAATCCACTTTTCTGTCCTTCTGGCTATCTGTGGTACCTATGAGGCTCTCCTCCAACACCACATTTCAAATGAGTTGATTTTTGACCCTGTCTTTTTCCATTGCTTTTCTTTCACACAGTGTGTATAATTTTGACCTTGGTTTCCAGTGAATCTTTGATGATTCTCAATTCTCCCTTTATTTTTATTTTTTTTAAATATATTTCAAAATGCAAGCGGGCATCTTTTGGAAAACATGAACTCCACATGTTCATAGATCTTTTGATCTGATATAGCTTTTATTTCTAAGTTTGTCTACTCCAAGGAAAAAGTCTGAAAACTGGAATATAGCTTTCCAGCCTGCACTCTACCGAGTGGGCATGACAACATTAGTTTACTTAAAAGGTTAAACAGTGCATATGTTTCTCCATTTTATGTGTTGCACTCACTCTGATGTTTGGTTCACTGTATTATTAAGTCCAAAACAGCCCTTCTCAGCCATGACAGCTCCTTTGGGTTTGGATGAAAAGTAGTTAACCAATTTAAAAAAAGAAGTCAGCTTCTGGGATTTTCCCTTGCTTGGTGTCAGTTTCTGAATGGTAATGAGCACAAGAGGGTACCCTGTAGCCTATCTTGACTGCTGCCATGGATGTTATTAACATTCAGGCTGCTCTTTGCTATGTAAAGCCTGGCATTGTTTTTCTTGCTCACAATGCAGGCACAATATCAGACCATTTCATTGCATTTCGAACTGAGGATAAAGATGCACAATATATTTTAAGAACTGAATACAAAGTCTGAATAGCTGGGTGGAAATTTCTAACTGCATGTTACCAGGTGTGGAGCATTAAGTTACATAATTTTTCTACACATTTCACAAGATACTGGTGCATCTTTGAAGAGATCAGTTTTAATCCACAAAAACTCATGTTGATTGCTTGAGAAGCCCTCAAACATTCCATTAAAACAGTAAACAATAAAACTATATGCAGTACTCAACAATCGTCCCTTGGATTAATGACAGTGGCACTACATAAAGTTTATTGAGGAGCATTTCATTTTTAAAAAAAAGAAAATGTAGTTCAAAGCAATGCAAGCTGCTACTGCATGACCTCTTTAAGAAGCCAGTGATTAATTAATATGTTGCTTGTTTGGGAATATACAACCTGCTAGTTTTCTGGCCATGTTTATGATGATCTTATCTACAATATAACTGAGAATGAAACTAGCCTCGCATAATTCTACTTGCTTTACTAAAGGCTTTTTTCAAAGACACTCTCACCTCTTTGTTTCTCAAGCTGTATATGATGGGATTGGCTAGTGGTGTCAGGACCGTGTAAAACACAGAGAATATTTTGTTTAGTTTTCTCAAGGTGTCAGTTTTGGGTAAAACGTACACCATAATTAGGGTCCCATAAAAAATGGTCACTACAGTAAGATGAGAGGAGCAGGTGGAAAATGCTTTTTGCCTGCCTTTTTTGGATGGGATCCTCAAGATGGCAGAGACAATAAATATGTAAGATGTCAGGGTGAATAGAAGTGGAGGGAAAGTATCTATAAAAGCCATAATGAAGATCGTCAGTGAGACCCACCTGATGTCTGTACAGGAAAGATGAATCACAGGATCCAAGTCACAGAAAAAGTGATCAATTTCATTGGGACCACAAAAGGTCAGTCCTGACAGTAATACTATGATCACAATAACAATGATAATGGGACATAACCAAGAGCTTGCTGCCAGCTGGATGGTAGTTTTGGCATTCATAACTTTTGCATAATGCAGTGGTTTGCATATAGCTAGGTATCGATCATAAGCCATCACAGCCAATAGATAACATTCTCCTGTTGCCAAGGAGCAAAAGCAATACAATTGCATGAGGCAGCTGTTGAACGACACTCTATTGTCTCTACTGAAGACACTGACCAGCATCCTAGGCAAAATAGTTGAGCTGTAGCAGATTTCCAGGCAGGATAAGTTCCCCAAGAAGAAGTACATAGGGCTCTGAAGATTTCTGTCCATTGCAATTAAGCAAACTATAGTAATGTTTCCCACCACAATCAAAATGTACACAAGAAGAAATAAAAGGAAGAGAGGAAGAATTTGCCACTCTTGAAGATTCCCCAATCCCAGAAGAATGAATTCTGTGATAGTTGTTTGGTTTTTCCATTTACTCTTCTCCATCCTGTCATTCTAGAAAGAAACATTACATGGTTAAATTCTGACAAATGAGCTGTAGCAATATAAAGCTGTGAAACATAGATTCAAGTAACGCTTGATAATCCACCCTAATGTTATTTTGCCTTATATAACTTGTTTTATATATAGGTATGTTGTTTGAGGGTGGGAAGTTCTAAGGTATTCTATTCAGTTGAATGACAGATGAGAAAGAGAAATCTTTGGATAGTGTGAATTGAGGAGGAGTGACTGGTGAGAGAGATCTATTACAAGGATATAATGCAAGGACATATTACATGGTCTGATAACTGTGTTAATTTAATACATCTCTCAGATGCCCTTGGTTTATTTACATTATTTTTTCTATACAGAAAGGTATGGAGGATGTATTTACCCAACAACCTAGCACTTTAATCACCATAAAAACTGCTATAATGAATCTTCATACAATGACATATTACCCATGTCAGCTGGAGGAGACTTTAATCCGATTCCATTGCTTATCACGACTATGCTCATCTTATGTGATTTATTTTGTTTTGGAAATCTGGGAGGCACCAGAAATAACATGTAGTAGCCTGCAGAAGAAATGAGAATGGGTCTATGTTTTTTCTGTGTATGTGCACACATATATTTTTAAGTCTGTTTATGTTCATATGAGAGAGAGGTTTACCCCATTTTAGATGTAAACAATGAACCCAAGGGCAGGATTCATGTTATGCTTTCTCATGGTCCAAAAGATGCATCTTATGGCTTCCAGGAGAAGCACAGCCATGCAGAAGTCTTATTCACATGATGCCTTCAGCTCAGAGAATCATGTTAGCAGCCAGTCTGTATGATTAGAATGTTAAGGGCTCTTTCTTGCAGAGAGATGGAACACTTGATGTTCCTTTATTAAATGAAAGTCCAAGGTATAAATTGAGGTGCACATTTCAGTGTGATATTAAGTACTTAAACTTCTGTATGTGTGTCTGCATACACACATAGGTACACGCATATAAGCTGGAGGAATATCAAAACAAGAGAACATTGGGGTCTTCCCCAAGTGTTGACCCACTTACCACAAGGTCAAGCTGGTGACTGCAATATTGTTGACATCACTCCACATCTTATTTCTTCTTCAAAAACTCAAAACAGTCACATCCAGATTCTTGGGACTCCAAACCACCTTTACGGGGTTATCTCCATCAATTGTTGTAATGCAAATGATACAGCAAAGCTTCTTTCCTCCACATTGTATTGCAGTTCACATGTTAGACTGAAAGGTGTAGTGAATGTAGATGAAGTTGTAGTGAGGATAAGACAGAAAGTAAGAGTGCCATAACATTGTTCATATTTATGCTTTAAAATCGGGTTTATGTAGGTTTTATTTGGCTATTATGTGATGTCATTTTTCTCTTCCCAAAACCCCAGAAGGCTAATTTAATGTTGCTAGTGCAATTCACTACAGGGAAAAGAATTATTGTCTGAAATAAAGCTTCTATATGCTGGGTCACAATCATTGTCATGCCTCAACCACTCATAACAGAAACTTAATGGCATGTGGGAAACTACAGGGATGCAATTTGGTCCAAAGTAAGGCCAACACATTCTGCCATACCTCTATCTAGCACTGAAAACTATAATTTACTCATCGTTCATTTGCAAGTTAGCCTCATGCTGGGAAATAGTTAATATCATGAGACAGTCAGTCACCCATGTCAGTGCTGCTGCTGTTGGTGATAACTCACAGGCTTTGAGGCTATGAAAGAAGCAAAGACACCTCTGTGAATTTAGGTTTTTGATTTGCACCTCTTAATAGCCTTCATTTATTTGTTAGTTTATCTAGAAGGGATAGCGCGCGCGAAGGGGCGCCTTTTTGCGCCGATTGAGCCCCGCGCGTTGTTTTGCTCCCTTGGCCCCGTGAGGAGGCAGGACAGCCTGAGTCTCGCGTAGTTTGAGCGAGATCTCAGAGGATTTAAGGGAGCTGCGCAGCTCAGTCTGGGCCCTTTCGCTTTCGGCACCCACCCGCCCGCCCGATTTCTAGTGTGCTTTTGGGTCGCCTATTTTGGGGCCGGATAGGAATTTTTGACCCTCATCCTGATTGGCTTTTGGATGGGGGGATTTTTCGCCTATCCCACACTGGAATAGGGTTTTTTAGGGTGGCAATTGCAGGTGGTCTCTTGTTATCGGTCACACAGGCGGGTAGTGCGGGAATAACTGTTTGTCACGGTGTCTCCCTTTGGTAATTTGCATAAAATAAACAGCGCTCCAGTCCTGACGGCTCTGAGGATCGTGCGGTCACAGGGCCGAAGGTGACGGAGTCGCTTGACCACTTTCGGACCAAAAGGTCATCAAATGCGATGGCTGGAGGTCCGGGGTGTTAGTGAAGGCCTTATAGGTTCCTGCTGTCGTTAGACAGCGGGAATCTGGGGTCTGGGACTCGCCCATTGACTAATAAGGAATCATTTGGCGATTGGGGAGCAAAGGCCAACTGCTAGATCAAGGAGGTGATATCAGGATGACTTACCAATTTCCATTCAAAAGCAGTTTCTAACCTTGCTGCTGTGAACAAGAAAGCAGTTTGCATGATGCCCTTGCATGGTATCATTTCGAATGATAGTGATCAGAAGAGGGTACCCAGCACACCATTTTACTGCTGCCATTGGTGTTGTCAACATTCAGGCAACCCTTTGTTATATAAAGCTTGGCATCTTTTTTTCCTGCTGGCAATGTGGGCACAATATTGTGCAGATATACTAGGCCATTTCCTGGCTTTTTGAATTGTAGGTACAGAAGCACAAATTCTTACACTCATAGGCTAGAGTTGTTTTGAAATATTGAATACTGTGATGCTCTTGACCCTCTTAGGGACCGCAGGGCACTTGGTCAGAGAGTTCGCTGGTACTTATCTACCACCTTTACGGTGGATTGAGTCCCTAGACCCCAGCAGTGCATAGCATAAGCCCTTTAAACATGTCTGATCACAAAAGAACACTTTGCACTTACTTAGGAACTTAGCAAGTACAGGCACCTGGGCTTTGTGATTCCTTAGAATTCACAACAGCTCAGTGAGGTAGGACTCTTAAATGATAGCAGTTCTGTGGCCCTCTTTGCTACTGGAATTAGCCAGACCTTGCTGTTCAAGAGACCAATAAGGATTTTTAAAGATTATTTTTTATTAGAAAAGAGTTTCGACAATCAGTTTATATTGCAAAAGCAGTAGCATTCAAGAACATATTCAAAGATTAAGGCAGTTAAACAAAATAAATATTTCTCAGCTAAAATAATAAACTTCTAAAAGCTAACCTAGGGTAGGCTATAGAGGGCTACCCCCCTCTTTCTTTCTCCTTCACTCACATCCTCCCTCTCTCTCAAGCCACATGCTCATGCCATCATCAGAACAGAAATCTATCATCAGAAATAACTGGAACACAGGTGAACAATAATGAACATGGAGCACATAACCCATCTTCCATTTTCTGCTTTCCTAGCTCCTCCCTTCTTCATGGTCCATCTGGCTGTTAACCAATTAACTTTTTAGAGATTGTACCACCTGTCTCCACCCATTATTCCCGTGAGAGAGTCCATGTGTTGTTATATCTTCTCCAATTAGCTTGGAATGTTGAGTCTTCCAGGCCCCTTGGTTTGGCCTTCAAGATATCTTGTTCCTGTCTGTAACTGTCTGCAGAAAAAACATTCTCATGGTGCTAAGAAAACACATTCAAAAGTCCTTCAAATCATCTCTACACAGAACCATTTTGACTCAATTTTATATTTTTCTGACTACATATCCCATCATCATGACACACTTCTAACCACATATCCCATGATTATGACAAATACTACACTGTGTGTGATGTCACAGACACTGTTCCTGCTGCTAAGGAAGTATTTCCCACCACAATCACTTCTGCTGCCAGCATCTAGTGGGGCCGTCATAAAAATGTAGCAAAAAAGAATGGGTTGTGTACTCAGTGACTAACTGCATACTGGAATATGGTAGAACTTATCCAAACTCAGGAAGCTGGATAGAAAAATGTGTTAGGTATCTTGCTGCAGAGGTTGGGAGGTTTTTTCTTTCTTTTTTGAGCGACAAGACCCAGCCTGAGTAGCCTTCAGAAAGCTGAAGAATTCCTAAACATAAATCCACAATCCATCTGAATGATTGAATCAGGCATTGATCATTGGTGGTCAATGATCAGGAAGAAAGGTTCCTAATTCTGGTAGTCCACAATCAAGGTATCAAAATATTGCATTGTTCCAAAATTTTCTGCTTTAGCAATTCTACTATTTGTTTGTATGGTAATATTTTCCCAATGTCCAACTACATAGTATGCAAGTAGCTGTGGGTAAGAGTAAACAAAGGCAATGAGACATAGTGAATAAGAGTAAACAAAGGCAGTGAGTTATCCAATGGGAATTACTAATCAGTATGGGATTATGTTGGTCCATGGCCTCTGCGGATCAGCCCCTGGTAGTGCTTTTATATACTTCTAACTTTTAATCACTATTATACTCTACATAATTAATTTTTACTCAGGCAATTAAAATCTGAGAATGAAGTTGTATCAGTTTTCTCGATGGAGACAGACATTAGAAATAGAGAGCTCTAGATAATGAAACACAGGAAATTTGCATCAGAGCTGACTATAGAACAACTTTCCATTACTGCTTCAGGTAAGCTCTTAAACTTTCTCTCAGCTGCAAGTTTGGAAAATGGAGTTTCTGAAGCCAATTGGTGCAGGAAAACAAATATCATTCTCAACATGAACTACGAAGAGAAAAACATGCAATTTATCGTATCTTTTAAAATTGTTATGTAAATGATAAAGAAAAAATGATATATTGCAGCTAATAATCATTTTCTTCATTACATTGAGCTAAGATCTAATATATTTGTGGCTCCTGAGTCTTGACGCATCAGCGAAGGTATATGTCCGGACTTTCTTTCAAAGCAGATCAAAGACAAGTGGCATTTATAATCATTTTAGAACAGTAGGGACGTGGTGGCGCTGCAGGCTAAA